AATGCGATATAAAGAGTTGCGAGGACCTCAGAGTTCAAGAAGCTGGATGTCAGAGATCTGGTATTGCTTGGTGCGTGTAAGAACATTATGTATACAGTGTTTTCTCGTTAGTGTTTGTATACAAAGCTGTTTAGTCCTGCTATGGCATAAATATCAGTCATCATCCCTGCGCAGTGTAGATGCCACTTAAGTACCATGCAGGCCTGGGAGAGACAAGTTTTACGGCAATGCTTGTGGGCGTGGTGTGCAGCTGCTGTTGTAATTAAATAGGGGAAGCGACCAGCGTGTGTCCTGGTGTCAGGAGATCAGACCGGTTTCTCAGGTGTCTGGAGATCAGACCGATTACCCCGGGTGTCTGGAGATCAGACCGATTACCCCGGGTGTCTGGATATTTGACCGGTTTCATCAACACATCAGGTATATAACCACACCACTGACGTTTGTAACATCAGTTTCATACGAGAACACCATTCGGACGTTAAGTGACTTTACTGGTAAGCTGATGAAATTTATAATAATTCCGTTTATTTATTTTCATGATGTAATATGTTCTAGACGTCACAGTCGTAAAATGGCGCGTGATGTTTATATGATAATGATTCGATTTACAGAATAAACAGTTGAATAATGAACATGAATATAATAAGCGGCCTTCGATACAAAGCTATTCGTATTCTCTTTTCTCTTTGCTAATTTGCAGGCGAGCTTATATAAGACGTTAATTTTACGCATGTGACGTGGCCGTCTTCGAAGCAAAACACGTGATCGCAGCTTGAGCGCCAGACAGGGGAGAAATCTCACGCGTGTGACCAGTACGTGGCAGCCTTCCCTGAAGCACGATGGAATACGTCACAATTCGTTCCGGGAAAAAACCATACAAGTGCGATCTGTGTGATGCTGCATTCTCCTGTCTGGGTGCTGTGAAGACACACGGGAGAGAAACCGTATAAGTGCGATCTGTGTGATGCTGCCTTTACACAATCGGGTCATGTGAAGACACACATGAGAACTCACACGGGAGAGAAACCGTATAAGTGCGATCTGTGTGATGCTGCCTTCACACAATCGAGTGATGTGAAGAAACACATGAGAACTCACACGGGAGAGAAACCGTATAAGTGCGATCTGTGTGATGCTGCCTTCTCGCATTCGGGTACTATGAAGAAACACCTGAGAACTCACACGAAAGAAAAAATCATTCAAATGTAACATTTGAAGTGAGTGAAGCTTACGCTCTGAAGACACTCTATAACCACACACGACAATGTATAATAATTCTAGAGAGATGTCGTACAGATGTAAACAGAAAGTATATCTCGAACTGTCAGACTCACATGTAGTATGTATGTATGTATGTATGGACGGGAACCTTTATTGGTGTTTCCCTTTTTATTTTTGATAGTTTTCCACCGGTAATTTCACTTTACCGGGAGATTTTGTTCCGGAGCTTCCAGGCTGATTCTAAGTAATGTTTAACTTGCTCTACCCAATCCCCATAACATCTATGTTCATTTAGCCCCAAGATAGTGAGCATCACCTGCCTTTCCTCCAGCTGTGCAGGGGTGACCCCCACTTCTTAGAGCCTGTCCCACATGATCTTCCTTAGGTGTTTGTATGCCGGGCAAACTAACAGGAAATGCTTTAGGTCTTCTGGTTCTCCCTTATTGCACACAGTGCAATTTTTTTCCCCTAACCATCTCCTAGTTCTTTTATTTACGGGGAGGCATCCCGCTCTACATTGGTACAGCAGCTTACTGCCGATTTTATTATTATTGTAAAAGGTTTCTTGGTTAGGAAATGTTTTCTCTTTATATAGCTCTAGTGTGCTTTTATTTACCATCCCCCTTCTCTATATGATTGTGCTGCCTTTTATAATGATTTTCTCCACCGTATTGTTCCATGATTCGCTGTTTTCCCAGTCTCTATTTATCAATAACTGTTCTTCGTCATAATTTTCGCCCAGGAATTTTACTCGTCTATTCCAATCCGACGTAAAATTTCCTGCACTGATAGCTTCCGCTATTCCCCTGCATTTTCTCTCTTCATCCATATAATTTAATCTCCCTAAATATTTAAGTTTGCTCTTCGCTTCTCTATTATCAAACGTGGACCATCCAAGCTCCCCCCTTATTGTTTCAATACCCGCGTAAGGTGGGGCACCTAACAGTTTCCTGCCAAGCTGGTTTTGGGTATTTTCAAGGGCTTGGAGAGTGCCTGTTCTTTTTTTCTTATTCTTATATATGATTATGTCATTTCCATAGGTTAGGGCAGGTACTGCTACTGTCTTCCACAGTTCTCTCCCTACCCAGTAACTGCTGCAGCTATAGTATGCCTTCGTTGCTATTATCCCTCGGTATTTCCTTGCCTTTACTCGCACTTCACCTTCATGTAGTTCGACACAGTTTTCTATGTTATTGTTTATTTTAAAGCCTTAGTAGCAGCTTGGTTATGTGAAAACGCGAGCACACAGTACACATGGGAAATCCCAACGAATGCAACTCAACTGTTACAGTTCTTTCCACATTCAAAGCTGAACTAGGAATTGCTTGTGAAAGCCGTGAAACCTTTTACGTTATACAACCTGATGGTGACATGTTTGTGTTTTTGATGAGTATTAATCTATCCAACGTGTGACTGTAATACAATCGCTGAAATTTAATAGCATTTGTGAATAATCATGTGTTTGAACACTGATCTAATAAAACGCATAGTACGTATAATTATTTGTAATTTTTATGTCTATATGTAAATGTATATACAAACACAGACACACGCACGTACACAGAATTGCTATGGAAGAGAACCAACAACAACAAGAGGATGGTGAATTGGAAGAAGAGGAAGAAAGGAAAAAGAATGATGAGAAAATCAAAGACAGAAACAGCAGAGCACCATCAAACGCTAGGAACGATACGTCATAGGATCAGCAGCCACGCCATACAGCTGACGACGCGTTACTCACATAAGCGACCACTCACACGTTACGGGACAGCTCTCATGCTATGCTGGGGCTACGCTACTGGACCGACGGTTGCGAGATGAACATCGACGAACGTAACGGTCCAACGCAGTTCTATCGTGCGCTCGGAGCGACCATAACGCGTGCACGCACTAGACACACGCTACGCATTATGATCTGACATCATGAGCCAAGAATCTAGCATTCAAGCCCAAACCGCCGCGCGTATCACACACCAGCAGTATGCTGCTTCACAGCCACGGTACGCAATGCAGGGAGAACGATGGCTACGCCCGTGGATATCCAACTTCCGCAGCGTAGCTGTTAAAAAAAGTTGCGACAAATGACTATCATTATAGGTGGACACAATACAGATCGTCTGAGACTTGAGTCTGCGTGTATAAGACTTATATTTACATGTTTCTAGCGTGTGATCTCGCTCGCGCAAATGTGTATATCGAGAGGTGAATTGATCTTGCATAACCCTAGTACACAAAGTCAACGCAATTTATAGCATTACAGGTCTATTTCCATTGGGCGTAAAATTCATTCCGATTACATAATATTTCTAGTATGGCACTGTCTTTTTGAGATAATATAAGAACAACAAACAACCCAGCTGAATTTTACTCGAAGAATTGATTAACCGTGTTGGTGTGTGTATGTCCAGATTATCGATAAATGTTACAATTGTCGAATAGTGTTCATATATAAACTGATGGAATCAAATTGGCTTCATTTTGGCCATCGTGGTGACCCTTGAGTCTAAAGATTTTGTCATAATCTTTGTAAATTAAAACGTTTAAAATAAATGAAATACCAACCACCGCTTTTATCCGTTTTGTTACGCTATGATTTTCTGCCTCTGTCCCGCATTGTCTATTACCAATTGCGCGCATAATGCGCGTCAACCACCCATGCCACACCGAATTCTCGGTACATGAATTACCAAAAGGGTGGATGTCGCTCTAGATTCGTCGTTACTAAGATTCATGTAGGCTCAGATAGAATCACACATAAATCACAGCGCGCATAACGTGCCATCCATTTGGCTGTCAAATATTTCCGACCGGAAGTCTGAAACTTGAAGTTTGTGGACATTTAGTCAGTGGATAATGTTTATGGTTGTGGGCATGTGTCGAACCACCGAAGATAGTGTATTATTCAATTAAGTTTTGCTGTGTGTTGTTCGGGTAATGTACAGCCCATAGGATAGTATATAGCTGCTAACCGCCGTAATTCGTGGATTGTACGCGTTAGTTAGTGTTAGGGTAGGGTTAGGGGTTTAGAGTATAAGGTTGGGTGTTGGGTTACACGGTTGGGGGCTTGGCGGTTAGCGATAGGCGTTCCTCATGAGCTAGTTGAGTATGTAATTTTCAAACGCCCAATTTCCTGTGCACTATATAACTTGCAGCATATATATGTAATTCTGAAAGCTAAAGATGTCATTACTCGTGAAGTTGAGAATTAACTGTAAAGGATGAGAAGAGAGAAATATGAAGATCATTTCGTATTCCAAATCGTTTGTACACCCCTGAACTGGAATGAAACTGCGGTGCTAAATGCCGTAAGTAGGAAATAAAATATTAGTCGCGTATACCCGTCTAGAGCTGTAATGCAATACTTTTGTAGTCTGGCAACGCTAAAAATGACACGATGTCGCTATAGCTACTGCCAATCATACCTCACGGGGCAGATTGTACTGTATAACGTGTGCGTTCCTAGGGTAATTACAAATATAGTGATTCTTTGTATCAGGTCACCCACATCTCCTCAATTCAAACCTGTCGCTCCCAAACGTCGACCGGCGCACCCTGGGTTTAGGCGGAAAATGATCGCAACGTGTCACTCTGCGTTAAAAACAACTTGCTCCCTCAGAGAGAGCTAGACCAGCAAAATATGATATGTAACGTAACATTGAGAAATAATCGTGAAGACATACATACTATCAACCACTTTGAATGCCATTTCGACGCACACCGTAACCACAAACTGGATTTGAACAAATGTCATAGCTATTCCATATACTAGACAATGTATGTGTGACAGATTACAACATTAGTATATTGAAAGCACATCTAACAAATAAATATACTAACATTGTTTTAAATTAATTAATTAACCAAGAGTACTTTATAGATAGATAGATGATACGTACAATACCGGGTACAAATTCGCATTCATCTTTAGCACATGCCGCCGTCCGGCTCTGTGGTCGCATCTGTACCCTACATACATGAGGTGCTTTCGGTCACATGCTATTTGATTCACCATGCCATGACCATTAAAATGTGGTCAATAAATATTTGTGCGTTTAATAAAGTGAATTCATCCGCAAGCGCTTTTATCTGCCTTGTTACGTCCAATGTCCGTAACCGCTAATTTCTTGGCTCATTCACGTACAACCTGATCGCATTAATGCTATTTGACGCCAAACGGCCAGATATAAGCAACGTAACAACCAAAACACTTAATCCATGAACCGCGCGCGACGCGTTGGCTGTAATATGTAGGCCACCCTACATGCATAGCGTGCGTGAACACAAGCGGCAGCCCATGCCATCATCAGGTGCGGGCGCCGGCGCCCCCCGAATAAGCCACGTTCGTGGTACAGTCTGCGCATGGCGCAAACTATTTGCCGATTGAAATCCCCTCCGCGGGTCAGGTCAATTGTGACAAAATATTCGTATTTCGGCGGCAACCGTACACATACGGCATGCAGCCTGTGTCGTTGTAATCCTACCACGTTTATTTCACGTGTGCACGTACACGCCGTGCGGTGCGTGGTGCACGTAACACGTCGTGAACTCTGCGTGTTCCGGTCCACGT